CACCTATCTTACTACTCCTAGACTGGAACCTATTATTGAGCAGCCTTGCCGAAGTCCCATATTAGATACTGTTTGAGTCAAATAGATTGTACACTCCTTTCAATCCTGAAGCCCCTGAAAACTTCCGAATGATAGACTCAGCATTTGTCAGCCAGGCCCAAGGTGATATTAAAAGGAAATTACAGAAATTAGAGGGATTTGTAGGGATGTCCATAATACAGCTAATGGAGATTGCAAATACAGTATATATGAATAGGGAGATGGAGGAAGAACGTAAAATGAGGAAAAAGGCAGATATGCTAGCGGTAGCTATCTTAAGTGTAGAAAGACAGGGAAGTGAATAGAGGAGACGAGAATAGGCTGAGCAAGGGACTTTAAGTAGGAATTAATGTGCGTATTGTAGAAAGGAGGGGCATTGGAAGAGTGAGTGTCCACAGAGAGAGCAGTATGAAGGTGATAGACAAGGAGAGAGAAGGGTACGAGGAGGTTATAGTGGTAGTTATAGAGTAAGAGGAAGTTTTAGAGGGAATGATGGGAATAGTAGAGGAAGTGTTCAAGGAGACAGATACTATCCACCCACGCAGAGACCTAAAGAAAGAGAGGATAGAGATTTTGTGGGTCTGGCTGACACTATCATGGAAGACTATTGACACCGACCGGGCTCCATCCCACTTGGTCGAGCGGAGCCTATGGTCGATGTAGCAATAGGGGGAAAGAGAAGTTCTTTCATGATCGACACAGGTGCTGAACATTCTGTGGTGACTAAGATGGTGGCTCCGCCTTCGGGGAAGACTATAACTGTGATAGGAGCTACTGGGAGAAGTGCAGCTAGACCGGTTCTTAAGAGTCGCACTTGTATTCTGGGAGGCCATGTGGTGAAGCATTAGTTCCTATATATGCCAGAGTGTCCGATTCAACTTTTAGGACGAGATCTATTATCGAAGCTTTAAGCTCAGATAACCTTTTACCTAATGGATCAACATCTCTGAAGTTTAAGGGGTTACCAGGCATAATGGCGATATCGGTGCCAAGGGAAGAAGAATGACGCTTCTATTCCATAGTGACAAGTGTTAACCCTAAGAGTGATGAATCCTTACTTGCCATTCCAGGAGTATGGGAAGAAAATAATCCTCCAGGACTTGCTCGTAATATCCCACCAATACATATTGAGTTAAAGCTCGGGGTGTATTCTGTTAGCCTTTGTATGTTGTTCTTTTATCTACCCCAACAGCTGTAAAGGTGGCGGAAGTGACTCCTTGGATTCATCATTCTAAGGTTAAACCAGCAGCAGACTCTTGGCAAGCTACTCCAGATCCTGAGAATCCTTGCAGGACCCGGTTGAAGCGTGCAACTCAGTCGGAGTGACGAGGGGATATCGAGACATTCTAGTTAAAAGTCTACAAAGATCATCAAGTAGGTGTTTTGACGGCCATAATAAAGCCTGACCACCTGCCTACGTGTCATAGCCAGAGTATCTTGAAGGGATCTCTGTGAAGGAAAGTGAGGATCAGAAGAACAACATCCTTGCAGCCCTCACAATCGGGAAGCTGAGAGGCCATCGCACGGTCGAAGAAAAATGAGGATTTCAGGAATAATGTGTTTTATTGTGTCTTAGTATTTTTATGATTTTTCAGGAAGGTAGGAGTACAGACATACCGAATTGCGATAGTTGCATTAAGACTACTAAAACAGGTAACCAAATATCCCAAACTCTCATCTGGCACTCACAGTATGTATGTAAGGGATCTGTATCTAAATGTAGATATTTGGATAATGATTATAGTGTGTGCAAGCCAATATCAGGAGAGTCTAAATGTTTTGATCCCCAATTCCAACCCCGTACAATTTGGTTGGTAATTCGGAATAATAACTCCCAGGGGACATTAATAAATAGGACTGTGATAAGCACCATACATTCCACGGGTATTCTACTATTTGATGCATGTAAGGCGATTTCGGGTAGTGGAAGACTTTGGAATGTATGTGGTAATCTTAAATGGGAACGAACTTATGGGTTTAATGATAAATACTTATGTCCCAGTAAAAGATCTACTGATCCTGATTGCCCAAATAGAGACTAACTTCTGCCCCTATTGGTCATGTGTAGGTTGGGCAACCTGGGAAAAACAGTGGATCAAGATATGATTATCCAAAGGTTGCCTACCACACCATACTGTAAAACTATGTGTGTAACCCCGTTCACATGACCATTTCCAATCTGCAGTACTTTATTGACAGGTTTGGAGGTCTGTTTGGGTTCCAAATATATGGCACAGGAGTAGATCCAGGAACAATAATATATGTAGGTCTTGAAACTGAGACAGTGGCAACTCAAACTCATCAGGTTTTCCATTCCTTTTATGAGGAGATGAGTGTTGAGGATAAAATTCCCCATAATGTTAAGAACCTATTTATTGATTTGGCTGAGAGTATTGCAGGTAGTCTTAATGTAACTAATTGCTATGTGTGTGGAGGTACTAATATGGGAGACCAGTGGCCATGGGAGGCAAAGGAAATATGGTACCCTGGCTCTGAGACATATGAACAACAGACACCTTTCCAGTCTGATCATCAAGTAAGTACTAGAAGTAAATCAGAATGGTGGTTAAAAACCTCCATTATAGGTCATGTGGGACAAAAAGCCTATAATGTTAATACTAAAATACTACTTGGTGGTCAGCTTCAAATGTCTCGGAACCTACTAATCCGTTTGCCAATTACACTCATTTAAAGGAGGTATGGTTTGACTTATCGGCTACATCTAGTTGGAAAGCCCCAGCAAATTTATACTGGATTTGTGGTAAGAAAACTTATTCGGAGTTACCACAAGATTGGGAAGGGGCATGTGTATTAGGTATGCCAAAGCCATCCTTCTTCTTGTTGCCAATCGAAACAGGAGAGACTTTGGGAGTTAAGGTTTACGATGTAAATCATAAAAGGGAGAGAGAATCCTTGAATATAGGTAGCTGGGAAGATAATGAGTGGCCCCCTCAACGTATTATTAATTATTATGGACCTGCTACTTGGGCAGAAGATGGCACTTATGGATATAGAACTCCGATTATCTATGCTCAACGCATTATTAGACTACAGGCGGTAGTTGAGATTATTACTAATGAGACAGCTCAAGTGCTTAATCTTCTAGCTAAGCAAAATACCAAGATGTGATCAGCCATATACCAGAATAGGCTAGCCCTTGATTACTTACTAGCAGTAGAAGGAGGTGTATGCGGAAAGTTTAATCTAAGTAACTGTTGTCTGCACATAGATGATGAAGGGCAGGCCGTGGCTGAACTTACAAGCCACATGGTTAAATTTGAGCATGTACCTACTCAGGTCTGGAATGGGTATAACCTAAGTAGTTGGTTTGGAAGTTGGTATGAGCAGCTTGGAGGAATTAATACATTAGTAGGAGGAGTAGAATTTATTATTTTTTTTTTGTGCCTCCTCCTGCCCTGTCTAATTCCACTAGTGGTAAGGTCCCTACGTAGTATTATAGAGAGTACTAGAGAGAAAGACAGCGGCTCATGTAATGGCTGTCTGGAAGATATTATCCCCTAGCCCGAAGAGAATATATTCAGGATGAAGAATGTTGAAGGAGTTTTTAAGATGCTTACAAGGTCTACTCTGGTTCAATGGCTACTTGAGAGATGTAGGTAAAACTGTGATTGGTGATGCATCTGGAATAATGTTATATCAAAGGCATCAAAGGGGGGAATGTGATGGGATTCCAGCATGGTCAAAATTTAGTAGGCCAAAATCTCCATGTGGCATATGTGTATGTTGTGTCAGTTGGTTAGCTACGTGTAGCTAGGATACTGTCATCAGTGTACTGAGCATGTGCAGGAATGCAGGAACTGAAATTGCACTTATTTCCTTTGTCTTGGATGAGCCATGTGGTTTGACTAGATGTACAAGTCTATAGTCTGCTCATTGATTGGTTAAAGGTGTATGTGGGTGTAGCTATTAATGGGAGGAGTTATAGTGCTATATAAGGAATGTACACTATGTTTTGGTCTCTCAGAATGTTGGAACAGGAGTTCATCTGAGACCCGATCGGTAATGTGAATAAAGGCCTGTTACTTCCTGAAGACCTGTCTCCAATATTTCTGTGTTTGGCTTCTGCATGCTTACACTGCAACACTCCGTGACGCTAGGTATAGCATATTCAGTCATTTTTGCTCATGTTTGTGGAGGCCCTCTGTGGGTCTGGAAAGTAGACATCCCCATGGGATGGTCCACCTCCCTCCAATAGCCCTGCCACCACGTGACAGCCAGTCACTGAGGTAAACCCCGCCCCCTACCACCACGTGACAGCCAGTCACTGAGGTAAACCCCGCCCCCTACCACCACGTGACAGCCAGTCACTGAGGTAAACCCCGCCCCCTGCCTTCACGTGACAGCCAGGACAAGCTGCACCCACAGTCACTGAGGTAAACCCCGCCCCCTGCCTTCACGTGACAGCCAGGACAAGCTGCACCCACAGTCACTGAGGTAAACCCCGCCCCCTGCCACCACGTGACAGCCAGGACAAGCTGCACCCACAGTCACTGAGGAAAACCCAGCCCCCTGCCACCACGTGACATCCAGGACACGCTGCACCCAGTCACTGAGGTAAACCCCGCCCCCTGCCACCACGTGACAGCCAGGACAAGCTGCACCCACAGTCACTGAGGAAAACCCAGCCCCCTGCCACCACGTGACATCCAGGACACGCTGCACCCAGTCACTGAGGTAAACCCCGCCCCCTGCCACCACGTGACAGCCAGGACAAGCTGCACCCACAGTCACTGAGGTAAACCCCGCCCCCTGCCACCACGTGACATCCAGGACACGCTGCACCCAGTCACTGAGGTAAACCCCGCCCCCTGCCACCACGTGACATCCAGGACACGCTGCACCCACAGTCACTGAGGTAAACCCCGCCCCCTGCCACCACGTGACAGCCAGGACAAGCTGCACCCACAGTCACTGAGGTAAACCCCGCCCCCTGCCATCACGTCAATGAGCAAGTCATACACCCCGCCCCCTGGTAACACGTGACCGGCCAGCAACTTCCGGTGCTGGAAGTCGGACGCCATTAGTACGTTACTGCTGTCAATTCTGACGTACACACAGTGCATCACCACACGGGGCCCGGTCACACCGGCTCTATACACCCAGGGGCCCTATAACACGGACATACCGGCTCTGTATATTGAGGGGCCCTATAACACGGACATACCGGCTCTGTATATTGAGGGGCCCTATAAGGCGGTCACACGGACATACCGGCCCCTCCCGCCCCTCCAGCCCGCGCTATGAAGCTCCGGAGCCGCTGATTCCCGATGAGAGCCCGGCGGCTGAGCGCTCGCTCCGTCATGGCCCCCAGCACGGCCTCACGGCGCCGCTCCGCCCGCACACCTCACAGGAAGGCTCCCGCCCAGCGGTCTGACAGGCCTGCGGTGCCCGCCGTGAGGAGCAGCCCGGAGCGGGGCGGGCCGGACTGTGAGCTCTCCCCGGCCGCGGAGCTGGACGAGTTACTGGACGGATCCTCTCTCTGGTGGGAAGAGGCCGGGCCGGAGGGAGCCCCGCTGGCCGATCTCCTGCAGCAAATCGTGGGGTTTGTGGACGGACCGGACGGACTACAGGCCGAAACGGGCTACGGCAACATGGCGGCCGACTGCACTGCGTCCGCCAGCGTGGACTCCGACAAAATGGCGCCCGCCGCAACCTTCCCGCGGAATCGCGGCCGTTGCCAGGGCAACAAGAACGCGCTGGCCGCGCGCCTGAACCGCCTGCGCAAGAAGGAGTACGTCAGCGGCCTGGAGAGCTCGGTCGCGCGCCTGACCGGCGAGAACCAACAGCTGCAGAGGGAGCGCCAGGCACTGGGCGCGCGGGTGCGCGAGCTGGAGCAGGAGGCGCGCTACCTGCGGGCGGTACTGGCCAATGACAGCTCGCTCTCCCAGTTGCTGGGCAGACTGACGGGGCTGGGCGGGGTCAGGCTCTCCACGTCACTCTTCCTCGACCCAACCACGTCAGCAGGCGACCATGACTACGCTCTGCCAGGCTTCCGCCAGGACTTGGAGCAAGCCAGGGAAGCGGGAGAAGGAGCCCACCCCTGCGGAGTGTGTCTGCATGTGGACAGGGAGAAGGTGTCTGTGGAGTTCTGCGCCTCGTGTGCCAGGAAGGCCGTGTCTGCGAGCAAAATGTAGGACCAGAGGACAGACTGTTACCATAGACACTGTGTTCATCATGGCACTCCTAGTGCTCTCTAACTGCAGCCACTGTGACCATTCCCATAATGCCAGCAGCTATGGGGGGCCAAGCCTTGCTGAGCATCGTGGGCAATGTCTACACAGCCTGTTCACCCAATTAGTGGTTTATACTTTTTGTAATGAGAAGCTGAGCGCTGGACCACCTGGAATTGGCTAATAGTTATTGGTATCTTCTACATAGTTAGACCATAATTTACTGCTTAAGGGTTAACTGAGTGATAAGATTTGTATTTTTTTTTTTATTAAAGGGGACATGGTTATGAATGATGATAAAATGCTTAAATATGTCTGCAATAACAGTTTAATCCTTTTTTTAATGGTGCAACTGCATGAAGATTGTCTGCATCCATTATACAATGCTAGTAAACCTCTCTGACAGTTTGTTTTTTAGGTGATTTCTCGCCTTGCTCAGTTGTAGGAGTTAAAGAGCAGTCGATTCCGCATCGCAACCTGGTAAGGATCCCTATAAATAATTACAAATCTGTGCTTTATGTAAGCAATTGTGTCCATGTGAAAATACAAACTTACTTTGTATTTTACAAACTTAAGTCTTTGGACACTGCATGTTGCAGAGTTGTAAACAGTTTAAAATCACCTATTGATATGTTCTTGTGCAAACAGTACACTCAAATGGCTGCATCTACAACATTTAACCTAGCAAAAATGCATACGGACCTGATACTGGCCCTCATTTTAAGGGTTTTTTCACTAGTATTTTGCAGAGCTTAACTGCATTCCATGATGCTTACTGATTTTGTTCAAGGGGCACACAATGCAAAGTTTGTATAAACTGTGGCTGGTGAAGCATTGGCAGTCTTATTCTGTCTGTTGCAGCCATTGGCTTTCTGTATTCTCAAGAGAGCCTCCTTAAGTAGTTTTAATGCCTTATGGTAGCCTGGATAATCTGAATATTTACTGAACACATTTGCCCATAAAGCTCATCTAGCCATGTGGCGGACTAAGCATCAATGGTAACATATTTTGACAGCTGTAGTGCCAAATGAAGCCATTATTGTTTTAGGTTTATCAAACTATGAAGTTCAAAGGGCATCAGTAGCAAGTCTAAATAACTAAAGATGGCAAAATCTATGGCAAATTTCTGTAAATTACCGAGAAGCACATCTCACATGTACATTTTGTAGCAATAGATAACAAATGTCCAGTTTTCAATTTACTTTTGGCTATGTGATATCTGTTCACTTCATGGAGATGTCAATCTAACTTGGTGTTGGAGAGGTCAATAAGTATGCATGGGTTATTGTGCCCAGTAAGATGTTTTGCAAATATCCCTTCCTTCATCACAGCTTGACCGCATCCATAAAAAATGCAGTTCTTTCACAAGCACAGAAAACTGAATATTTTTATACATTGCACACAATGTTTAAATTTTGTGTAATTGTTAAATCTTTGCACTGTATTTGTAAAGTGAGATTTCACAAAGAATTCAAAGTGTGTTGTTGCGGCAGTATTCACTATTCTCCATTAGAAACCTGTTTAATTTATTTTGGTTAATTACAACTCGTTTTATTTTGACTGTTAAATGAACATATATTGCCATGCAGGATGTAGTCATGAGAGATTTTAGTTTAAAAAAAAAAATGCTTTAACTAACTTGCAACATAACAGCGTGTAGACAAATGAGGGAAATGCATACTTGGCATAGAGCAGTGTTTTCTTAACCTCAGCACTCCAGAGGTTTGATTTCTATGATGCTGAACAGTGTATCGCTGTAGTATCAAGACTGGTCTCCAGTGGTGTAGCAATCTGTATCAATATTCCCTAAAGCTATACAGTGTACCAGAGACCACAAACGGAGTTCTTTTCATCTGCCATTGTTCCACAACACACTCCACTAGTCTTTTTGAAATCTCATTTATTTTCATTGAATATGTGTATTTAGCATCCTTATTTTCTTTTATGCTAAAGTGGATTCAGCTGTATGGGGAGGAAGATCCGGGACCAGCTGCTGATCACATGTCGTGCTTTGTTTTAAAAGGTAGTATGGTACATGAGGAAACCGAGGTAATATCAGGGATTTTTATATTTCTTATTGATGTTAGAATGCAAGTATTGGAATTCATGAAAGTCTGAATTTCTAAATATATGATGAATTGTCCTGTGGATGGGATATATCTCATTGTGTAAGAATTGACTCCTAGTTGAAACATTGTGTCCATTACATTTCATGATACCCAGTTCCCACTAGTTTAGTAAACTGAACTGTCTGGGTTGTATTTATTTAATTTTCAACACACATTAAAGTGGCTGTGTTTCCTTCTGGGGTGTCTGCATATTTGGCATAGACCTCAGTGGTTACTTTGCTGCTTGCATTGAGGTGACTGTGGGGTGTGCAGGGTAAGCTTTACCTACCTGCATGCGCAGGAGTAAAAACAAAAACAAAAAAAGTCTATGGTCCCACCTGATCCTTCGTAGACAAAGCCCTTTTCCCCCATTGCTGTCAATAGTGACTGCTGAGGGTTTGACACCGGTATCTCAAGGTTTTTGTCAAGCACCACAAAAATCTTTTTATTGCGTTGGAACTTTAGTGAATAAATACTTAATATTTATGAAATGCTCATTTTTGGGGAGAGTAGCATTCCATTGAAATATTGCTTTAACTACTGCAACATGGAACATTCAGCGGCTCTGTAGAGATTTGCTAACATTGGAGTAAGGTTCATCCAGGGTTATTTACTAAAGTGAAGCTTCAAAGCTTAAGGCCAGAGTAGCTAAACCTTTCTAGTCTTGGCTGTTTTGACCTTGCATTTAAAATCCACTTTAGTGAATAACCTTTTGTGGAGTGTCCATTCTAGTAGCTGAGCAAGGCAAGCAAATGCATACACACAGGAATGCCTGCTTATTATCTTCTGTGACTCCCAAAAGATGGTAGAACTAATTCAAAGATGGCATTCGCTTCCTTGCACAATCCAGATGTGAAGGTGTGGCAGACAACATGCTCTTGATCAGACTAGCACAATCCTATTAAGAAAAGTGCTGCTGTAAAAAATAGATTCCAAATTTTGCATGTTTCACACTTTGATTCAATATTACACATTAAGATATATTGATTTTCACATTTAATAAAGGAGTTGTTTATAGATTTATTGCTGGATTATTTTGTTAATTGCAGATTATGTTTAGTGTCCTGTTCAGAAACATGCAAGCATTGATTTATGTTTAAAGTAATGTAACTTTATTTTGTTCTCTTGCAAATGGCTCAGACAACAAAGCAGCATCAGTTGTTAAATTTTACTTCAGACTTACAATGTCCAAACTGGGTGTTTAAAGAGCTATACTGTCCATTATACAATATGAGTGAATTGTAAATATCATGAGTGTTAATGTTTTAAATTAAATGCTGCCTGAATAAACATTATAGTGGGCTGCAAATATCAGTCAGATTCCAGTGTCTGGAGTAATTGCGTTTTCCTTTTTGTTCCTATCTCGTTTAGCCAATTCCACTTAATGTTGTTAAATATGCTTCAACAGATAAGAAACAATCTTAATGGATTTTATCCTCCCTATATTTTTTCTGCAACATCTGTGTTTTTCTTATACATCCCTAGTCACACATTTCATGTGTCTTGCAGGCTCCCTAAACACTTATTTTAAAGAGATCTAATGTTTACACTTTCTTTATTGCAGTCTTTAACTCCGTAAGGATTGAGCCAAATGTACACGTTGTAAACAAAACGTAAACAAAACCTGACATTTGCGCTACATGTCTGTCCAACCGTAATTCACCTCTTTCATATTAACCCCTTAAGGACACATGACATGTGTGACATGTCATGATTTCCTTTTATTCCAGTAGTTTGGTCCTTAAGGGGTTAAATGCACCCACCCTTATTATATATCATTTTATTCAGGGGAAACAGGGCTTTCATTTAATATAAAATATTTAGCTATGAAACATAATTTAATATGAAAAAAATGGGAGAAAATAAGAATTATTTTTTTTGTTCTACATGACATTTTAACTGTCAATGTCATAATACTGTTTGCTTTTACTGCAATAAAATACACATATTTGTATTCAGCAAAGTCTCACGTGTAAAACAGTACCCCCTATGTACAGGTTTTCTGGTGTTTTGGGAAGTTACAGGATCAAATAGTGCACGTTACATTTGAAATTCGCCAGATTGGTTGCCTTTGAGACTGTATAGTAGCCCAGGAAAGAAATTTACACACATAATGGAATACCATTTGCAATAGAAGACAACCCAAGGTATTGCAAACAGGGTATGTCCAGTCTTTTTAAGTAGCCATTTGGTCACAAACACTGTCCAAAGTTAGCGTTAATATTTGTTTGTGTGTGAAAAAATGCAAAAAAAAACAATTTTGGCCAGTGTTTGTGACTAAGTGGCTACTAAAAAAGACTGGACATACCCCATTTGCAATACCTTGGGTTGTGTACTATTGCAAATGGTATGCCATCATAGGGGTAATTTTCATTCTTGGGCTACCATAGGGTCTCAAAGGCAACGCAACCAATCTGGTGAATTTTAAGCCTTCTGTTTGATGCTGTAACTTTTGAAAACTCCATAAAACATGTACATGAGGGGTACTGTTGTACTCAGGAGACTTCGCTGAACACAAATATTTGTTTCAAAACAGTAAAAAGTATCACAGCAATAATATTGTCCGTGTGCTGTTTGTGTGTGAAAAATGCAAAAAAAGTCACACTTACTGGCGATATCATCGTTGTAATACATTTTACTGTTTTGAAACCCTAATATTTGTGTTCAGCGAAGTCTCCGAGTAAAACCGTACACCCATGTACAGGTTTTATGGTGTCTTGGAAAGTTATAGGGTTAAATATAGTGCTAGCAAATTAAATTCCCTATATTTTCGGCATGGGTTGTCGGGCAGGTCCCGCTAATGGTAATTAATTAAAATACCTAATTATGTAAAAATATTACCTAAATATATATGTAGAATTAGTGTGTGTGTGTGTGTGTGTGTATGTATGTATGTATGTATGTATGTATGTATGTATGTATGTATGTATTTATTTTTTAATATAGAGATAGAAATATATTTCGTTCTACGTGTATTTTGATATAAATATATTAATACAGTTAAAACGAAATAAAACACGATATATTGTTTACTTAATAATTTTTTAACGTATTTACATATTTTATTATATGTGTATATATAAAACAATTATATATATTTAATCAGTATCATTCTACATGTAATTTGATATGTGTATATGTATCTAATATATATAATATATATATATATATATATATATATATATATATATATATATATATATATATATATATATATATATATATATATATATATATATAATGATCTAAGTATATTATTATTTTTTTTTACACTGATTCATTTTATCTGATTTCATTTTCAGCCAGCAGGGGCACTAACTGTCATTACAGGCAGTCCCCCTGCTGGCAATGCAGCAGCCAGCTAACCCGGCCATTTGATTGTGAGGTCCTCGCAAGGACCTCACTCTCACATGACCGTCTGGGGACCTTACAAATACCCCCTATGTAGACATCGTTGTGTGACCATCCACTATATGTATCTATCTATCCTACATCCCTGCTGGCTGGGAAATTGACACGGTAGCTCCACCCAGTATCTAGTAGAGTCAGCTGTAGGGGAAATACTGAGACAAAGTAGTCACTGTCTCAGTATACCTCCCAGGTGTGTCTCCCCAACCGCGATCGCCGGCGTGGGATCGCTGGCGACCAGGTAGGTAAGAAAAACCAAAGGGCGTAATATTACGCCCTGCGGCGTTTAGAGCTGCTTAGAATAGTACGCCCTCCGGTTTTAAGGGGTTAATTTAGTTTACCTCCTGCTCTGTTTCTAGCTTCATAGACCTTACAGGAGACTCCTGTATGTGATTTAATTACAATTTACAGAGCAGGAGATATTTAAAAAAAAATAAAAAGAAATTCTAAAGAAAGTTAACATCTGATTGAAAGTGATCCTGTTTTTTATTTTTTTTAATGTGATTTCAACTTATTTAATAATATAGATAGTATGAGTGGAGTCCCCCCTCCCTTCTACCACCACTACCAAATTGCACATACCTTTCTTCAAGGTGTTATTTAACATTTATATTTTCTTTGTATTGGAAACGGGGGCCATTGCGGTCAGTCTTTATTATATTTAAACAGTAACAGAACAGAGAAGTATGTTGTAACCCCTACAAGAAATAGAAAATGTAAATTACACTCACTCCTCCATGGATTGTGGTGTATTAAGTACGTGTTAACGCCCTCCGGTCTTTTCTTACTTACCCGGTCGCCCCGCGGTAGATCCTCTTCCTCCGGTGCCCCCCGGACATGTGAGAGTGAGGTCCTTGCGAGGACCCCACAATCACATGGCCGGGGGTAGCTGCCTCCTGCATTGCCAGCAGGGGGGCTGCCTGTAATGACAGGTGGTCCCCCTGCTGGCTGGAAATTAAAATAAATGAATTAAAAAGTGTAAAAAAAACAAAACATTTTTTTTATTTTTATATATATATTTATATATATATATATATATATATATATATATATATATATATATATATATATATATATATATATATATATATATATATATATATATACACACACTCTCTCACTCTGTCTAGGTGTATTTTACTATTAATATATATCAAATTACACGTAGACTGTTGCTGATTAAATATATATAATTGTGATATATATATATAATCTAAAAAAATTAAATATGTAAATACGTTAAAAATAAAATTAAATATATAGATGTTATTTCGTTCTAACTGTATTGTGATATTAATATATAGATATATTTATATCAAAATACACGTAGAATGAAATAATATAGATCTATATACATAAATATATACGTATATATCACTATATATATATATATATATATATATATATATATATATATATATATATATATATATTTTCACATATATTAATTCTACATATATATTTATGTAATATTTTTACATAATTGGGTATCTTAATTAATTAATTACAATTAGCGGGACCTGCCTGACAACCCATGCCGAAAGTAAAGGGAATTTAATTTGCTAGCATTATATTTAACCCTATAACTTTCCAAGACACCATAAAACCAGTACATGTGGGGTACTGTTCTACTCAGGGGACTTCGCTGAACACAAATATTAATGTTTCAAAACAGTAAAATGTATTACGATGATGAGATCGCCAGTAAAAGTGAAGTTTTTTTCATTTTTCATGCACAAACAGCACTTACACGGACATTATTATTGCTGCGATACTTTTACTGTTTTGAAACTCAAATATTTGAGTTCAGCGAAGTCTCCCGAGTACAACAGTACCCCTCATGTACAGGTTTTATGGTGTTTTCAAAAGTTACAGCATCAAATATAAGGCTTGCGTTTCATTTTATTCACGTTAAAATTCGCCAGATTGGTTACGGTGCCTTTGAGACACTATGGTAGCCCAATAATGAAAATTACCCCTATGATGGCATACCATTTGCAATAGTAGACAACCCAAGGTATTGCAAACGGTGTATGGTCCAGTCTTTTTTAGTAGCCACTTAGTCACAAACACTGGCCAAAATTGGCGTTTTTTGCATTTTTCACACAAATACAAACGCTAACTTTGGCCAGTGTTTGTGGCCAAATGGCTACTAAAAAAGACTGGACATACCCCATTTGCAATACCTTGGGTTGTCTACTATTGCAAATGGTATGCCATTATGGGTGTAAATTTCATTCCTGGGCTACTATACAGTCTCAAAGGCAACGTAACCAATCTGGCGAATTTAAATTTCAAATGTAATGTGCTATATTTGACCCTGTAACTTCCCAAAACGCCATAAAACCTGTACCTAGGGGGTACTGTCTTACACGTGTGACTTTACTGAATACAAATATGTGTATTTTATTGCAGTAAAAGCAAACAGTATTATGATATTGACAGTTAAAATGTCATGTAGAACTAAAAAAAAATCTTATTTTCTCCCATTTTTTCATATTAAATTGTTTCATAGCTAAATATTTGATATTAAATGAAAGCCCTGTTTCCCCTGAATAAAATGATATATAAGGGTGGGTGTATTTAATATGAAAGAGGTGAATTACGGTTGGACAGACATGTAGCGCAAATGCCAGGTTTTGTTTACATTTTGTTTTGTTCACAACGTGTACATTTGGCTCCGTCCTTAAGGGGTTAAATCTGAAGCATTGTATGTATAATAACATCTATTACTGTTCAGCTGCCGATTTGGTTAATTCCTAGAGCGTGCGCTGATAAGAGCTTTGAATCCCACTGGGAGAAATGTGCTATATAAATACTAGTTATTATATTTAGATGGTCAAAAATCATAATGTGCCAGCTTGTTTAAAGGAGCGTCTCCCATTGTAATCAAACCAGTTTCCTACATATTTTTCTTGTATCTGCTTTATAAAGCTGTCCTCACTCCCTCTTAAAGTACATTCTCTTTTATCATTTCCTTAAAGAGACACTGTTCAACTGGATAAAGATAGAATCTTCATGAAATATTTGTTTTGGGTGTGTGGGAATTTCACTGAAATTCCAACCCTGACTCGAGATACTGAGACAAAGTAAAGATTACTTTGTCTCTGTATTTTTCTTTTGGTAGACCTTCGGTTGGAGCTACACGGTCAATCCCGACAGCTGTCTGAGGTACAGGGTCAATCCCGACCTCGGTGACAGCTGCAGGAAATTGGCTCTGTCTATGGAAGAACCTGTGGTCTTGTAGAATCCTCCATAGCCATCAATGCTATACTGCCACGCATGAAAAGGACCCACTAAAAAGATGGCTGCGCCCACGAGGGACAGGTTCAGGTAAGTAAATTTCAACTTTAGCTGCCATCACTGGACCCCCAGCAGTCATGTCACTGTCTTTACAAATTTGACTGCCTTAATATATCTCCTGCGTGTATACTCTTAAATTAGTATTCCAGTTCTCTTGCTGTTTACTTTCTGTTCCTTGAAAATACATACATGTCCCTACTACTGGTAATTCATATCCTCTCTAACTCCCTTTTTTTCAGGTTCTGTTTCTACGTTAGTCCCCTCTCTAGTGTATCTACAGCAGAAACTCAGTATAACTTATCCTACTACATATCTTAATGCCTTATCTCCATCAGTACTGGTTGGTCTGCTCCTGATTCCCTCCTCTCCTCATGGGGTTCTTCTGTGCAGTCAGCATTAATCACTTTAGCATAATGTGATTTTTGCTTTTTGCATTAGGGATTCAGATAATGCTGTAGACAGCTAGTGCCTGCTTGAGGGATTTTGATTGGAGTTGGTCCACAAAACTAGCCCAGCAAAAATCCTAAAACTGTTATGGGTGCATATGTAAAATAGGCCTGGAGTGTGTATCACAATAGTCTTCAAGCAGTGTGCAATGACTACATTAAAGGAATACTATAGGTTCAGGAACACAAACAAGTTAAAACAACTATTTGGATGGCTTGCCCCTGTCTTATACTCCTTAAAAGGGGTTAAAACTTACTTTATATCCAGCACTGCACGGGTTTGTCGGTGCAGGCCCTGCCTCTGATCCGCCTCATTGGTGATCTTATCAGAATTTAAGATTTCCCTATGGGAAAGCATTGCAATGGCTGAAATTGGCAAGGATGGAGTGGGGCCAAATACCAGCTTGGCCAATCAGCACCTCCTCAGAGATGCATTGAATTAATGTCTTTATGGGGAAAGTTCAGTGCTTCCATACAGAGGGTAGAGACACTGAATGCCAGTGCCCCAGGAAGCATCTCCAGTGGCCACTAGATGTGTCATTATGTATAAGCTGTCTTTTCAGCAAAAAGCCTGCAGAGAATGATTACATCATCTATCTTAAGCTGTAGTTGTTCTGTTGACTATGGTTTGCTCCCTTTAACTCATATGTAATATGCTGAATGCAATTCTTAAAATGTGGGGTTTTCTTTTGTGCATTAAAAATGGAATTCTTATCTGCCAGTTAATTAAACCTAAGTATGTCACTGTGGGATTTTGTTCTCATTAAAGTGTTGGTCTAGAACAGATTGAGAACCACTCTTCTTATGATTTAATTATGCAAACAATATGTAAAAATTCAAAGTCATCGCATTAATTAGTCTCTGACCTCTTTGCAAATGCTAGATTTGTTAGCGTATGATCACCAAGTTACTGAAAATAATGAAGACTTTGGATTGGGTAGGACATCTCAACCATCCTCTGGGGTTTTACATATTCAGCCAGGCAATGGAAACTCAAGCACTTGAAAATCTGCACACTGTCACTTTAAGATATGCATTTCATGGCAGAATGGTTTTAGCTACAATTACAGTTACTGCTTTGCAAACTCAAAAGAAGAAAAAGTGCCTATTTAAATTAAAACTCCATGTTAAAAGATTTTGCTGGAGCAGTCTAAGAATTGTATGATGAAATTATACAGGTAAGCACTTTGTGGTTTTGTTGCACTGAATATACCACCTCAAGGGCACATTCTTATATTTTGCTTACAGGGTTTTCACCAATCACCACATTTCAGAATAGCTCATTTGGCAGAATACCCCAACACTGTTACAGAATGTATTAGTGTTGTCTTATTTACAGATAGGGTTATACATACAACTTAATTGACCAGTGAATATAAAGTTTTAGGACAACTATATGTATGTTTAGGTTTTGAGCTGAGCTAGAATCTGTAGTCAATTTCCCCCACTTTGTGGTTTGTTTACTAAATGGCCATCTTACTCCATTATAGTAGTCAGCCTGTTTTCCGTTTATAACAATTTTCACTATATGGAGATTGCCAATAACAAATGGCCTTACATGTGGGAATAGGATTCATTGGGATTGGAGAGACAGAACTTCCTACACTTCGATTAATAGCATTGTACAAAAGTGTGGAGACGCTTGGCGGCAGATTGGCACATTGTGCAACATGGACCCAGGAAGCACCTCTAGTGGACTGTGACTGCCGCTAGAAGTGCTTCTAGGCAGTAATGTAAATACTGCCTTTTCTCTGAAAATGCAGTGTTAGCATTAAAAAGCCTACAGGGACGGTCAGTATACACTAGAACAATCACATTAAGTTGTTGTTCTGGTTATTATATTGCCCCTTTAAATCTCAATGTTAAACCATGGCACAAAGTGTTTTAGCGTTGTAGAGCAACAAACTAGAAAAATGCTCTTTCAGCTATTCTTTCAGTTTGTCTATTATTGCCTTGTATGTAAAAGTGAACGGTCACCGTCTGGGGACTTTACATAACTTACAAATACCCCCTATGTAGACATCGCTGTTTGACCCTCCACTATATATATGTATGTATATCTCCTACATCACTGCTGGCTGGGAAATTGACACGTAGCTCCACCCAGTATCTCGTAGAGTCAGCTGTAGGGGAAATACTGAGACAAAGTAGTCACTATGTCTCAGTATACCTTTTTGAATGGGTTAGAATTACAGTAGTTAATTTCAGCAAGTTACAGACAAGCAGAAAGTTTAACATTATCTACATAAATCCAGTAGTGGATCATATATAGCAGAGTGTTGCTGTGAGTGCATACTGACCGCACTGATCCAATTCAGGGTGCAGCTGAACTGTACACACTCACAGCTCATGGAGGCTGTCAATCTTCTCCAGGATCACAGTACTGTGCTGGATTTACACCACTGTAAATTAACCCAAATAAAAGGAAACTTTGTCGGCTCTGTTTTGCAGCACCATAATCACTACAATAGGCTGTAGTTTTTTTTTTTTTGTAGCAGTAAGCACTAGTTGTAAACAGCACGTTTAGTAAATTTTATTTACAGACAATAAAATGTACTTTTCACAGATACTGTTTTATGATTGTTTATTAAAAATAAATGCAGTCAAGCACACTCACTGATATGCAACAACAAAACAACTTATTGCAGGACTGTGTCAGCTTCCATGTCTACTGCGGGAAGACGAAGCATTTTTTCATATATTGCAAAATGTCGTGAACTGATATACAGACCGAACATGCCTTGGAGAATTAAGACAAAGCTCATTTTTCTCAGCACTGGCTTTGAAATGGTTGTCCAGAAACGAATAACATTCCCCTCAGTCGGCAGGGGTGAAGTCTGATAACTGCAAAAATAGAAACATAATATGTACAAAAAGCTACAACAGAGAATGATTCATTTGGGTTTAATAAACCTTTTTTGTGAACATGTTACATATGCACTAAAAGAAAAGGTTCTAATTAGGATGGTTAGTAAACGTGTAATAATGCATACATCTACTGCAATCTTGTAAAATTAAACTACAAGGTAAATATACATTGCTGTTAAATAATACCCAACTACTGCACGTTGTTTGCAGAAATGGTAATGCATATGGTGTCCCTTACCTGCCTTCCAGTTTTCTTTCAAAATGTTTGTGAATCAACAAATATTTTCCAAATGTACATTAGGTGTGACAAAAACAAATATATATATATATATATATATATTTATTAGTCCGTTTTTCACGTAATCTGCTCATCTTTGGTGCTAGAAAAATGACTGCAGTATGAAGCATAATTCCCATGTTCAGTAAACGGTCCTTAGCTGTGACCAGACATCTGAATATACAAGGACACTGCAAACTACTATTACAGACTACACATATATCCTAATGTGTGGCCAAAGCCCTTCCTGCCTTAACAATGGGGGCCAATAGTGATCCAAACTGCAGACATGGAAAGGGATATCGACTATTTTCTATAACAACTTCTGTAACAACAAACCATCCTTCCATACCCTTCTAGGGAGAACTGTGAGCATTCCCTCCCCAACTTAGCGTCATGTGTGTGCTTTGTGCTACTTATGTGTCAGATACTGTGAGAATATAGAAAGGCTTTCACGAGGTGAGAGTCGAGACTGGGTTATTTCACCATAACCGTTACAATTTGCCTAAATCATGCTTTTTTACTGAAATAAAAACTTCTTGTAAATACTCAAAAATAGAAACTGGGAATTTTAATACAAATCTAACTTTTTTGATACTGGTCTAATAGATAATGCAGTAGCAACCAGGCATCCTGTGTGACACTTTATCTGGTGATCTAGGTACCAAGAGCCCCTGCCAACTAAAAAAAACAGATTGCTTTATCTACCTTATCTTGTTGCACTATAACAGACAGAAGGTGCTGCACTATGATGTTATTGTCTATCAACTTTGTTCAATAATAGCAGAGGCGGCTCTCTAATTAGGCGATTTAGGCGGCCGCCTAAGGCCTCGCGCTGTGTGGGGCCTCGCGGCCGCCTAAATCGCCTTGGGGCAGACTGAACTGTCGGGTCCTCGGTCAATGACCGAGGACCCGACAGTGAGAGGGGGCCCGGCGGCTTGCCCAGTATGCCGCCGGGTGGCCCCTCCACACGGTGAGCCAGCCGCTGATCTGCAGCTCCGCTGAGTGCAGAGCTGCAGATCACATAATGTGCTTCTCGTGAGCACACAGAGCGCTCTGACAGGCGCTCGCGAGAAAGAAGTCTGCAGCTCTCGCGGAGCTGCAGACGGAAGTCATCCCACCGGACCACCAGGGACTGCTGCCACTGGACCACCAGGGACTTCTATTTCAAGAAAAAGGTATTTCAATGTGTGGAGGCTTGTCACAGCCTCCACACACACTGTCCATATCACTGCCCACCCACCCTCACTGCCGACCCACCCTCACTGCCCCATCACTGCCCACCCACCCTCACTGCCCCTTCACTGCCCCCCACCATCACTGCCCACCCACCCTCACTGCCCACCCACATACACTGCTCTCCCACCCCCACTGCCCCAACACTGCCCTCCCACCCTCACTGCCCAACACTGCCCACCCACCCTCACTGCCCCAACACTGCCCTCCCACCCTCACTGCCCCAACACTGCCTTCCCACCCTCACTGCCTTCCCACCCTCACTGCCCTCCCACACTGTAACACACCCTGTCCCCCCACACTGTCACCATCCTCCTCACTATCACCCACTCACACCCTGCCCCCGAAACTGTCACATTCCTCCACACTGCTCCCTCACCCTGTTACCCTTTCACATACTTGCACCCCATTTTGTCAGCCCCCAACACTATGTCACCAATACATACAGTCACCCCTCCCACATACTGCTCCTGCACACACTCTCACTGTTTCCAACACTTCCTCCCACACTCTCACCTACCCACCGTCACAATTCCACACACATACTGTCACCCCCCACATGCTGTCATGCCTTCTTCACCCAGCCTCGCTCACATTAACCTCTCCTAATCTTGTCGCTCTCACCCCTCCATCCATACCACAATTACCAGCCCTCGCTCTTCCACACTCACCCTATCAAACTCATCTTCTCTCATACTGTCACACTCACCCCCAACCCTTTCACATTAACCCTTTCACTTGTGCCCAACCATGCCACACTCACCCTGTCACATAATCCTGTCCGACTCACTTTCCCTCGCCTTGTCACACTTCCTCCTCCAGCCGTGCAACACATAACCCCAACTCTGTCAAACTCATCCCCCTTCACCCTATCACATTAACTTCTATCCTGTTACTCATCCTGCCAAGCCATGCCACACTCACCCTGTCACATAACCCTCCCTCATCCTGTCACTCTCACCTCCCCTGGCCCTGTCACACTTTCTCCTTAAACCGTGCCACACTCACCCCAACACTGAATACAGAGACTAGCTCTCTGTATCCAGCACCGCAAGCCTGTCATTCAATATAACAACAGCTCATTATACACACGATGCAACCCCTATATGTTTTTTACTATGAGTATTAGTGGGGGGGCCTCTTGTTTGAGTTTCGCCTAAGGCCTCATAAAGTCTAGAGCCGCCACTGAATAATAGAGTATAATATCCTACAAAAGAGGTCCTGCTCTCACTACTAGGTAAATTGGGACTACCTCCCAAGCAATAGAAACTAATAATGGGTGAGATGGGAAGATGTATCTCACTAGCTCAGTGTGGAATAAACATTAATGCAAGGCATGCTAATCATGACAATTAGGCTATTCATATATCTGTTTCATATAAGAACATTGTATGTCCCTCCAACAACATGGTTCTACACAGATTATGTTGACTAAATACATATACAGGGAGATGAGCTTACCGTGCAGCTAGTCCCCCATTAACAGGTAAGGCCAAGAGTATTGGATATAGAGCACCTGCAACAGATCCGATCAGCCCACCTCTAACCATAGTGCACAGAGAACAATTCAGGTCACCTGGGTACAGGAGAAACATGGCGAAAGTGCAGGGTTAACATACAGTTTAGGTAAAATTTTGCAATTCTCATACTTCCCAAAGAAAAATCATTTGAGTAAGCATATATCAATTAGTACCATTTGGTGCCTAAGTTAAATTCAGTAATTCTGTTGTGAATCACAAACAAAATGTATAATTTGCCTATTTACCCCCAAAACACCTCAGCTTGCTAGAGTACGTTATGGGTGAGGAGTATCCTAGTTTAACCCCAGTTTATAAATGTGCCATAGAAATCATCCCTTTTATAAATTAACTAGGAAACACCCCCCTGGCTGTCAATCAGACAGCCTGGGCGGTTGCAGCTTTTTTTCCATTAGCTCCCCTAAGCTAAAAAAAAAAAAAAAGTGGTAGTCACGCTTTACTTGAGCATGCCTGTTATCTCCACCTCAGACCTTTTCCTACAAACCTCAGAGCGTACACGTGCGCATCAATTCAGAGGCCACTGATTGGTTACTTTCCTGTGAAGAGACTGAAAGCACTGATTGGTTATTTTCCTGTGAAGAGACTGAAAGTTCATAAGATCTGCAGCCTTTGCAAGCTCTTTAAAGATATACTCCAAATAAATGTGTATTAATTAGGGCTATATCTACTAAACAGTGATATTTTTTCCTGCCCATTTGGGCAGTGGAGTGTTCTTTTAACAAATATGAATTTCAACCAGATTAAAGGAAAATATACAACAATTACCTACATGTGATAAATTGAAAAAACTAATAAAATAGGAAAAGTCAATGTTGGAAGCACATTATCAAGCATCCGTCTCACTCTACACTTAATTTTATCTTGGTCTCTTTAGACCTGTTCTATAATATGCAATATCAAAGTGAAATCAAACTTCCATTTTAACATATATGTCTTTTTTTCCCTGCCTACAGTAAAACAGACATATTGGTTGTTATTACTGTTCACAGACATGTTATTTGACTTTAATCCATACTACCATGTAGGAGCTCACCAGTGCAGGGGACGTGCCGGGTTAACTTAGTTTACAATCACCGAATGGCGAACACACACAGTGATCAGCATGGTGATTGATGCTTATTGTGGTAATGGTTGAGAGACTACTTGTCAAATGTATATGGGGGACCAAGTTATAATCCCACTTTATTTCATAATACAATAAATCACCAAATTGTAGTAAAGGGCTGAACTATTGCAACACCGAATAGAAAATAAATTACTATCAGGGTTTAAAGTTTCTCCTATAGTCATTGATAAATACAATTTAGCCCTTGTGACTTTGTCACAAACCCTTCAGGCTTGCAGTAATCTGTAATGTTTAAGGCCTGGCTAGTAGCGTACGATTTACATTTTAAGCCCTGTTATTAATATCTAAAGATGCATGGTTAAAATGTGCCTCATTCTGGGATTATTCTGCTTTTACTGCAATGTTCAATTTTTTAAAAAAATTTTTTAAAGTGGCTAAATATAAATTAAATGTAGCATAACTTTTTGCACTATTTCTTGCATTACCTGTAAAAGTTACTAATTTTTGATAGTTATATATTTATTAATGTCTTGTTTTTTTAGCTCTCCTGCAATATACTGAGGATTCCACCAAATACAGCCTCATTATGAACATACAATTGACCAATTAAATGTATTTCTATAAGTTCAGAATGCAAGGTACATACCCTGAAGCAGAGGCTTAGATACCAGGCCACCATAGGTAGCCACTGTAGTCAGAAAGGGAAGAACAGCCATTGGTAGACTTGATAGAAATCGGGCCTGTGTAACGTGCAGAATGTTCCGGAATAAGCTGTTGGCTATCAGTCCAGAAAAAGCCCCATTTATGCCAAGGAAGACAGATCCATATATAAACATCTTCCTGAGAAACGGGTCAACAGAATAAAATGATCTGAGTGTAAACGTACATTAAAAGGAATATTCTGCTAAAAAATATATATTTTCAGACTTGAGAAGTATATGAATCACTACAGAAAAATCTTACTTCTCTTTAAAACAAAACTGTTATGACTTTTTGAAACACATAAATGCAAAGTTTCTAACATTTCATTGTAAAAAGCCGTTCACCTTGTGGTATACGGCAGATGTCACAAGTTAGCCACTACAGTGAGATGAATGAGGATCACAGATTGCATTCAAGAGGTGCTATGCACATTACTTTAAAATGACACTAGTCACCATAACAACTTTAGCCTAATGCTGCTGTTTTTGTGCTTAAATCATGCCTCTGAATTCTCACTGCTCAATTCTCTTACATTTAGGAGTTAAATAACTTTTGTTTCTGTTTATGCAGACCTCCCCAGGCTGTGACTGCATAAAAAATGGTTTCATTTTCAATTAGAGGCTAACTTATTTCAGATGTTTTTATCTCCTGCTTCTACAATGTCTAGCAAGCTATTAACAGTGCCGGAGATAAGAAATTCTAAATTAAACAGAATTTGGAATAAAGGGAGTGTAAACGTTAGCTCTTACTTTACTGGAGGGGAGACTGTGGAAGTCACAAGCAGGGAGGTATGACTAGGGCTGTATAAACAAAGTGATTTAACGCATAAATGGCAGAGAATTGAGCAGTTAGACTGCAGGGGCATGATCTATACACCACAACTGCTTCTTTAAGCTAAAGTTGTTTTGGTGACTAGTGTCCCTTTAAGGGATGGAGACAGGATGGGAGGTAGTTAGACTGACATATCTAGGCGTTTAATTCAATACATCAGGGGATATTGTACTGAAATCCCTGAATCTACACCAGAATTCCTTTTACTTGATAACTTGGACCGAGGGATGCATACTATTTAAGCATTACAAAATGTACTCAAACTGTTAAAAAAAAAAAAAACAACAACAACATTATACTAGTTTTCCAATTGTTCTTCATAAATGTCACTTGATACCATAGCACCTTTATGTGGTTAATGTAATCGGTTTGTTCGGTTACACCTTCTACAGGTAAGGCTTTCTAGAAACCTGCCTAAAATATCTCCGGTAAAACCCTGCTTTGAATAGACTGACTGGCTTGAAGACCACAAACATTGGATGTAAACCATATTCATAACTCACCGGTCATTCTCAGGGAGGCGGTTAAACCGTTCCATTAAAAATGCCTCAATGTCTACTTTTAACATCTGTTGGTCTTTCTTTCTTGACAAATGCACATCAAAAGGATCTTTTTCAGACATGTTGTACTCCTGCAAAAACATTATTGTTACACATATGCATTTTAAAGCAGCTTTGTCACCAGAGAAATAAATTAAGCACTTCATAATGATTGTGTTGGAATTTCATTGAAATTCCAATGCAGTCAAAATATATCATAGGAAGAAGTAGGGACTACTTTGTCTAATGGTAAAAATCCTACCTCGACAAAATGTGGAGATAGCGATGTGGGCTCCTGGTGAATCGGGCGCCAGCAGCTGAAGAAAAGGTGGTGGGGACAGCTTAAGGAAGCAGAACTCACCACAGCTGCACCCCCAGGCCACTGCACCCTAAATACCCCCAAAGGTACCAGCAGTCATTTTAAGGCACTGAAAACAATACATAAATACATACCAAGGTCCTGTTACTAAATAAAGCTGCAACAGATCTGGCATTATGGTTATATGGTAATATTGCAAGAACAATACACACATAGCGGAGAATTGGCTAAGCCATTGGTAAACTGGCAACCTAAAGGTTTTTCTTTAGAAGGAGGGAATTAGAATATGCCCAGGGAAAGTGCCGATCACTAGAGGTTACCACTGGACAACTACGGATCTCATATAGTTTGGTATGGGAGGAGGATTATGGGTTAGGTGGTGATATCAACCCTAATGATGCCATGGCTAACGTGTGAGTTTGTGCTTGAGTAGTAGGGTTTTAGGGGAGGTGTGAAATACTTAAAGGGATAAAGGAACACTCCACTGCCCAAATACAATGTATTAGAATTAATAATGTAATGTATTAGAATTAATTATGTAATGTATTAGAATTAATTATGTAATGTATTAGAATTAATTATGTAATGTATTAGAATTAATTATGTAATGTATTAGAATTAATAATGTAATAGAATTATGTAATGTATTAGAATTAAATGTGTAGAAGTTACATCCTAAATGAAAACATGCATGCTCAATGAGAAGTCTTTGCAAGGTAGGTGTTCTGGGCAATTGCCTGTCTCTTGAGTGAGGCTCCACTGAGCTAACCAAACCAGGAAGTAACAGAAGCAGTTGTCTGCTTGAAAGCCAGTTTAGTGTAACAATGTTGATTTATTAAAGTGCCAATTTCTATTGAAATCTCCACTTTTTGTAAAATGAAGAAAAATAAGGGGACACACTCTTCACACATAAAGCATTTCGGTGAGCTAATGTGTTTTAGGGGACTGGAGTATCGCTTTAACGTCCTTCATTTATCTTTTTAATATCTAAGTGCATAACTTGTTACACATAGCAAATGAAAGGGCTAAAGTGTCATCAGTCCGGTAAGATCCGGTTAAGCCCTAGAGATGCCAGATTGACCCTGTGGACTCGAACACATCACTTACATGGAAGTGAAAGAGAAGAAAAGTACTGTCCTGCAGTTTGAAGAATATAAATGTTTTAGAAGAAAACTTAATATAAATTTTGTAGACGTCATTAAAGTGGCTCTGTCACAGTCTGGGGTCTTTGTATAATTTGCAAATACACCTCATGGTGACTGCTCAGTTAGGTGTCCAGCGGTTGCGTAGTGCAGGTGAGTTTTTCCTAATCTGAGGACAAAAAAGAGCAAGGGTGGAACAGCGCTACAATAACTGATCTCAATGGGACTGCACACCTGAAAATGGGTAACCCTCAAACCCTTCAGGAGAAAACTGAACCAACAGAACAAAGGATACAGGTTGCGCCAAATAAAACCAACAAATAACTATAATAGCACTAAAAATATATGAATTATACAATACAAAAGTACCAAATATAAGAGATAAAAAGTATTTTGGGGTCATAAAGGTCTTTAAGTGTTCAATAGACATCTATGGTATGACTGCAAACATCAGCAGCATATGCAAAAGAAAAATAGGAAACCAATAGTGCAATATTGTAAGTCTATGGACTGTAGACACTGAGATAAAATTTGCCAACTCACATCTTATAGAGCTATAACCAGCTCTCGGTAAAACAGCGTACAGTGGTATTAAACTCCCCACTTGTAGGATATCCCTCTGACGGTAGTTGCAGTGTAGGTCATATACAATAAAAGAAGAGGAGAAGGTCCATAGTGCTCTCCATATATGTAAGTTTGAATAACAGAAAAAAATATACTTACAATTTAAAGAGCAGACAGACCTCTCTATGTTTCAGGTGTGGGTGTTTTTTGTTTAAATAATTTTTTTATTTTAACTTAATGCCTCGACCCCTCATGGCCCTCAGTACAGGCAGAGCATCGGAAGCCTGCCTCAAGGCTTCTGATGCTCTTGCCTACACTGCCAGGCACCACGGACGGCAACCCTCAAGTGATCGCACCAGGGGGAGCGATCACTCGAGTGCCCGGCAGTGTGGGGGAGGGGGCGGGGTATCGTACGATGCCTCGACATCGTTCAATACCCACAGAGCAACTTCCAGCGCTCAAATTTACCGCGTACGTATGACTCACGTCCGTGGTCATTAAGGACCGTTTTTTGTCGGACGTACCTCATACGTCCGCGGCCCTTAAGGGGTTAAAGAGCACACGGACCGCTCTATGTTTCAGGCATGGGTGGAACAATTCCCACCTAGGATTCTTTGGATGATGAGCCTGATGTGTCAGATGATATGTGCCAGGTATGAATACAATTACAATGAAGAAATAAAAAGACTGACCCAGGCAAATAGGTAGTCTAAAAATATTACTTTTATTAAACAGAAATTATTATTTTTTATTTTGGCGCAACCTGTATCCTTTGTTCTGTTTGTTCAGTTTTACTAATCTGAACCTGTCCCTCACAGGCACGCCACGGTCTTCCTGCCAGTGCTCTTCAGCTCTGGCGCTTCAGCTGGGAGGAACCCAGGTGAGGGTTATACTCTTGCACATATGCGAGAGTACAACACTGATGTCTATGAAAGAAGCCAAGACACCAAGGGATCCTCCATAACAGTCTTTTTCTTTAGTAATGGCAGGAGAAAACTTTAAAAAAAAAAACTTGACAACGGTAATCTCTACTTTGTCTTAGTAAACCTTTTGACTGTGCTGGAATTTCAGTGAAATTTCAACGCAGTCTATGTGAGTACTTCACAAGATTTCAATTTAATTAAAGATACTAATTTCTTTTTAGGGTGACCGTGCCGTTGCCATGAGGCGCAGGGTGCAATGCTGAATATTACTTTGAGAATTACAAATTGTAGAAAACAAAATTTCCATGTTGAGTACACTTCCAGAGTTCATTAGGTGTATGTTTCCAGTAAAATATGGCAAATCTGTCAACTCATCTCATCTCCACAACCACCCACCCACCAACAGAAAGGAATAATCTCTAACCTTGGCCACTCCAGGTGTCTGCTGCTCTCTACAAGCCTAATATAACCATGGTGACTCTCCAGCCGATGTTGATACCGATTTACATATCTGATATCGCAGCCGGCGATAACTGGAGAGGTTATTTATAAATGTGGGGGGTGAGAGGGTCCTATTTACACAGCCAGGCTGCACATGACCTTGACACACAGCCTTTACCTGTATTATCTGGGGTACCTGGTATTATAAACCCCCCTTACAGCACTCACCGTGCTCCACACCCACAGCCACAGAGACACTGGCGGTCTGTTCCCAGCCGGGAGCTCTCAGCAACACCCTGGGCGAGACTCACAAATCCTGCATGGCAATGGGCGCCGCCATCTTGCTCGTGTCATGTGACAGGAGCCGGGTGACGTCACGGGGCCGCCTGGACCAGCTGCCTGGGCAGAGTGAGTGCAGGCTCTGCACCTGCCATGACTCCCTCCTACTCCTCCTCATCCTGGCTGAGTGTCTGAGCTCTGCCAGCAATAACCAGGCAGCACCCACTCACCTGGCATGGAGACAGGGGACAGGAGGAGACCCACACACTAACACCCTGCCACTGCAGGCTCTCACACACACACAGACCAACTGCACTGGATTCAGCTCATGGGATGCTGCATGGGTGCATAGCCTGGCACACTGCATGCTGCTTGGCACTGGGGGGGAGAGAGGGTGCAGGAAATGCATCTAAATACTGCTCAGACAGGCTGGCAGGCTGTGCACTGAGTAGACTGACACCCTGCAGGAGGTACAGCTGGACCTTACAAATAGACTGCTACTCTGGAGGGAGTGCTGCCCACATACTGGCAGTCTGGAGGGAGTCCTGAGCAGACTGGCACCCTGCAGGAGGTACAGCTGGACCCTACAAATAGACTGTTACTCAGGAGGGAGTGCTGCCCACATACTGGCAGCCTGGAGGGAGTCCTGAGCAGACTGGCACCCTGCAGGAGGTACAGCTGGACCCTACAAATAGACTGTTACTCTGGAGGGAGCTCTGTGCAGACTGGCACTGTGCAGGAAGTACAGCAGGACCCTACTCTGGGGAGGGGGGGAGTGCTGCCCACATAGGCTGGCAATTTGGAGGGAGCTCTGTGCAGACTGACACCCTGCAGGAGGTACAGCTGGACCCTACAAATAGACTGTTACTCAGGAGGGAGTGCTGCCCACATACTGGCAGCCTGGAGGGAGTCCTGAGCAGACTGGCACCCTGCAGGAGGTACAGCTGGACCCTACAAATAGACTGTTACTCTGGAGGGAGCTCTGTGCAGACTGGCACTGTGCAGGAAGTACAGCAGGACCCTACTCTGGAGGTAGTGCTTCCTACATAGGCTGGCAATCTGGAGGGAGCTCTGTGCAGACAGGCACTCTGCAGGAGGTACAGCTGGACCCTACAAATAGACTGTTACTCAGGAGGAAGTACTTCCTACATAGGCTGGCAATCTGGAGGGAGCTCTGTGCAGATTGGCACTCTGTAGAAGGGGCTGCAGGGCACTCTACCAATGTACTGGGAATCTACAGGAAATCTTGCCCACATAGACTGGCATTGTTCAGGGAAGTACTGTAAACAAACTGGACTCTGGAGACAGTTCATCTGGACATGCTACAAACAGCCCGTGGATCTGGAGGGGGTTCTGTCCACAGAGACTGACAATCTGGAGAGGTGCTTCTGGATGATATGCAAATAACTTGCCACTCAGGAGGGGAATAAAGGCTGGATATTTCAGCTAATGAACTGAACATTAAAAGTCATCCTATGTGCAATGTATCTCTGAAACCTCTTTCTGGAGCTGTATAATAATCAGATGGCATTATTTTTATATTTTTTTCCTAAGGTGGCAGAAACCCAGATCTAGTAAATTGTATTTACAAATGTAACCCTGCCTGCTGTTTTCTTCCTGTTTGGATACATTGGTATTCTGATACATTCCAATCAACTGGAGCTACTTGCACATACATTTGCATTCTACTTGGCTGCTAGGAACTTAACTCTTCCAGTTCTGTACTTCACCAGGCTGTTAAAAACACAGTTTTAGACATCTTTTGCCCCTAACAGCCAGTGCCAGACTGAAGATTAATATTAAGAATGCCAGTGAATAAGAAAGGTGGGCAAATGAAATCTCATTTTTTTCCATCCCAATATCCTTGGATGCACATTAAAACTTAATGTGAAAGTTTCATGTTCCCCATCCTTCATATTGTCTGTGTATTTACAATCATGCTACATTTCCTGTCTAGTGATTTATAGTGTGTGTTATTTTAGAATTACTTTTCTACAAAATATGATGAGTTTTACATTAATATTTTATGTCTAGGTAATGAATAATCATATTGCAAAACAATGACCCATTTTCATTCATGAATGACCTTATCATGTTAGATTTATGGTTTATAATTTGAAATAATAGTTGTACATTTATAACACAAGATGACACACCATAAAAACTGAAGATGACACATTAATGTACATTCTGATGTATTGCTAAGTTTTGTATTAGCATTCTTCCATACATTGTTTGCATTAAAGCAACTTTGTTTGAACATGCAAATTACACTGGAGTGATGTGTATACACAGTTACATTTTGTTGTTCTTTGTAATAGCTTGATTTTATTATTGCTGAGAAAAGAGACTCATCAGTCCCAGCTGGTTGCATGCATTGCTGTGCCAATAGAATCACTAATGCAGTATATATATATAAAAAATAAATAAAAATACTCTGATTTCAAAAAGTGATCTGAAACAGTAATTTAATAGATACAGCATGGGAAATAAAAGAGCTTAATTAACTTCAATAACATAATTATTATTGGGTTAATGCTGCTTTCTAAACAAATATGGTTGCATATTTTCAGTAATCTGATATATTTTTTGGTATCTCTTCTGACAGTGCTATTTACTTAAGTGTGAATTTTTGGGAATTCTATGTGAATTTCACATTTGGAACAATTCTCCATGCCAGGGACCTTGAAATTTACTCTGAATTTCTGACAGATAACACCTTACTGCAAGGGCTCCCAATTAATTTTTCCTGTGGAACCCTTTGATATAGTATACCAACATCGTGGAACCTCCGAAAACAAACTTGCGCCATAGCACAAACATTTTAATAAGTGGCTTTTTAATTACTATTTTAAATATTTTGCTCATAAACAGTCTAGTCTTATGATAATCCTGACTCTTTTAAAAAAGGCAATGTCTTTATATTTGTACTCTGTGTGGTTTTGCTCAAAATGACGACGTAATTTAGCAGGTGCTAACGAACTCTTTGGCAATATTTTCTTGCAAACTAAGCATTGTGCTTGAGGTATGTTTTTTATTTCTGGCACTTCTTTGTTTGAGAAGACGATTGGCTAGCATTGTGTGCTTTTCTCTTTTTTTGACTTGTCTCTTATCTCTGCTATTTGAGGAACAGTAGATACAACTATTTTGGGCATGTTTTCTGGATTTTTAGTTGTATCTTCTTTCTCAGTTTCTATAAGTGCCGAATAAGTAGAAGTAGCAATAATTTGTCTCTGAAGAGGTCACTGCTTTAACCAGCTTTGCAAATTCATAGTTCTTTATTGGTAAAAAAATAAAAATAAAAAACCACTTTGAAAAATACAGATCTCACAACCTGACTGAAAAGGATGCCGATTTTGATAACACTCTTAGAAAGAACTGAACTTAAGCAGGATTTTTGAGTTAGACGCAGAGCAAAAAGATTTTAACACTTTGAAAAATACAGTGAACAGTTTTTTTGTCCCTCACAGAGTCGTTCAATGCCCCTGACAGTCTTTCAATGCCCCTGACCAGTGGTGGATCCAGAGCCTGATCTCGGGAGAGGCATTTGTAGATTATTTAAAGAAATAATCCAGGCACAAAAACCACTACAGCTCAGTGTAGTAGTTATGGTGCCAGTAGCACCAGGATCCCATCTCAGAGTAAGTAGTCAAACCGTTTAAGAGCAGTTTGACAACTTACCTGGGGTCTGCTGGGATATAAGGAATAGGAGCAGTGGTATGTGTGAGGGGTGATGTGTGTGAGTGTGAGAGGGCGGCAGTGTATGTCAGGGTTGCAGTGTATGTGTGGGGCAGTGTGTGTGTGTGTGTGAGAGAGCTGCAGTGTGTGTGTGTGTGTGTGTGTGTGTGTGTGAGGGGGCAGTGTGTGTGAGAGTTGCAGTGTGTGTATGGGGGCACTGTATGTGTGTTTGGGGCAGTGTGTGTATGGGGGCACTGTATGTGTGTATGGGGAGCAATGTGTGTATGGGGGCAGTGTACGTGTGTATGGGGGCAATGTGTGTATGTGTGGCAGTGTATGTATGTGTAGGGCAGTGTGTGTATGGGGGAGCACTGTATGTGTGTGTGGGGCATGTATGTATGTGTGGGGCAGTGTGTATATGGGGCACTGTATGTGTATGGGGGGTTTGCAGTGTGTGTGGGGCAGTGTGTATGGGGGTAGCAGTGTGTGTGGGGCACTGTATGCATGTGTGGGGCAGTGTGTGTATGGGGGTAGCAGTGTGTGTGGGGCACTGTATGTATGTGTGGGGCAGTGTGTGTATGGGGCAGCACTGTATGTATGTGTGGGACAGAGTGTGTATGGGGGGGTTGCAGTGTGTGTAGGGCACTGTATGTATGTGTGGGGCAGTGTGTGTATGGGGGAAGCACTGTATGTATGTGTGTGGCAGTGTGTGTATGGGGGGGTAGCAGTGTGTGTGGGGCACTGTATGTATGTGTGTAGCAGTGTGTGTATGGAGAGCACTGTATGTATGTGTGTGGCAGTGTGTGTATGCGGGGGTAGCAGTGTGTGTGGGGCACTGTATGTATGTGTGGGGCAGTGTGTGTGGGGCACTATGTATGTGTGGGGCAGTGTGTGTATGGGGTAGCAGTGTGTGTGTGGGGCACTGTATGTGTCTGTGAGGCAGCAGTGTGTGTGGGACAATGTGTCTATGGGTGTGCAGTGTGTGTGTGGGGGGAGGAGGGTAGGGAGGCTTTTAAATAATGTTTATTTTTTATTTAATAATATAAATATTCATTATGTCCCCCCTCCCTTCTTACCTTTATTGAAGAGGAGGGGGGACATTTCTGGATCCCTGATGGTCCGGTGGGGATTCCCTGGTGGTCCCAATGGTAGGAGTGAACTCTATCCCATAGCTACAGGGCTAGAGTTCACTCTCGCGATATTTGGAGCGTTGCCATGGTAACCGCGGCAACGCTCCATGCTCGCGAGAGGTTAGGACCTGGAGGAGCTTCAGGTTGAGCTCCCGGGTCCTCTCCCTCCCCTGCCGGCTGCCAGGATAGTGCCTGCGGACCGGGGAGCGAGATCTCTGATCTCTGATCCCCCTCCCCGGTCCGCAGGCACATTGCAGGGCTGGCACTTGGACAATGCCAGCCCCGCATTAGCCGGCAGGGGAGAATCTCGGGGGGGGGGGGGGCAATTGCGCCCGTTGCCCCCCCTGGATCCGCCACTGCCCCTGACAGAGAATTTCAAAGCCCCTCAAAGAGTCTTTCAATGCCCCTGACCGAGCTTTTTAATGTCCCTTACAGAGCCCTTTAATGTCCCTTACAGAACCTTTTAATGTCCCTAGCAGAGAATTTCAATGCCCCTCAAAGAGTCTTTTAATGTCCATAACAGAGAATTTCAATGCAGAGTTTTAACTATCAGCTCCACTCTCTATCACTCCTCTACCACGAGTGATAGAAAATGGCTGATGGCTGGCTGACGGCTGGGCGGGCTCTCTCATGGCCAAGCAAAGTGGCTGCCTGATGGCAGGGTGGGTGCTAGCGCGGGCTCTGACGACAAGGCGTGCTGACAGCAAGGCAGGCTTAAGATTGATCTCCCGCGATCTCTGCTGTTTCCGGCCTTCTGGGAACAGCAGGTAGTGGCTGCCATCTTGGATATGGCAAAATGCTGTTGAACCCCAATTTTGTTCTAGGGTTCCACAGAACACCAATTGGGAAACACTGCCATACTGAATAGCATGTCTATATGCTAAATAAATCTAACAAGACAATGGCTTACTTACTTGAAGTAAACAATATGACACTGTATACACTGTATACCCCTTCTTTGTCAAATCAAATCCATCAAGGTACAATACAGAAAGTAGGTACTGTTTTTTTTTTTTTTTTTAAAGTTCCTGTGCGGCAAACCCTCTAACTTTGCAGTGATGCCTGTAGAAACCAGGAAGTGGCTGAGTCTGTTCAGCCAATCATTGTCCTACTGTTCTTTTTTCAGTTTGCGTTTTCTGTATCACTCCCATGAATCCCAGTAGAGCAGTTATCTATGGTTGATGTAGTTAAATACTCACCTTTCTCTCTAAAGCTGTACAGAATGAGCAATGTCTATTATGCTCTGCGTGTAGTTTCATTTGTGTTTTCATGAAGGAAGCTGTGTATAGTAGGGGCTGCTGTACATGTCTGTGGCTGCTGTTCAGTTCCATCATAGAAATCATCGGCATAGCTCTCTGCATGTGCCAAAAAAAACCCTGCTCAGCAACTGTTTATGGCAAATGTTCTGCTGTATTTGTAACTTTGCTTTTACTCTCCCTTTTGGGGTTATTTGTTGTGGGGCTAAAGTGCAAGAGGGTTTTGATTTAACATTTTTGGATGATTAAAAAAAATGTTTTTGCACATGGTTTCATCGATATTTTGTTGCAACTTAGAGGGACACTGGAGGCACAAGAACAACTTTAGTTTAATGAAGCAGTTTTGATGTATAGAACATGCTCCTGCAGTCTCACTGCTCAATTCTCTGCCATTTAGGAGTTAAATCACTGTGTTTATACCGCCCTAGTCCCACCTCCCTACACGTGACTTGCACAGCCTTCCAAACACTTCCTGCAAAGAGTCATCTAATGTTTATACTTCCTGCATTTAAGATACTGTTTAATTTACAATTTCTTATCTCCTGCTCTGTTAAATAGCTTACTAGACCCTGCAGGTGCCTCCTGTATGTAAATAAAGTTAAATTTACAGAGCAGGAGATAAAAACCTTTAAAATAAGTTACATTTTACATGATTGAGAGTGAAACCATTTCTTTTCATGCAGGTTGTGTTAGTCACAGCCAGGGGAGGCGTGGCTAGGGCTGCATAGACAGAAACAAAGTGATTTAACTCCTAAATGTCAGATAATTAAGCAGTGAGACTGCAGGGGCATGATCTATACACTAAGACTGCTTCATTAAGCTAAAGCTATTTTGGTGACTGTAGTGTCCCTTTAAGCACTATACATATATCAAGGTAGGAACCATGATATGACACTGACTAAGGGCCCAAAAGTTTAATTGGCTTCTGATTGGTCCATGTCATCTCTGCATTACCAAAAAGTACAAGAATGGGGTCGCCTAGATGACGTGGTCACTTCAAGAGCGGACGGGACGTTTCACAAATTCAAACAATATAAAGACATGTGAAACTCTGAGAAACGTTAAACACAGGTTCTTCACAGAAGAGTTGAATAAGCAGAGATTCCTTTATTTCTTGTGCACGAGGAGAGTGTCAAAGAAGACTGCCCTTCCTCTATATGAAAAACACATATCTTATATACAGTTAAAAAAATACAGCGTACGTGCCAGGAACAGCATAGTGACAAAAGATCAGTATCTCGATGTAAGCAATAAAAACACAGTACCCCGTCATTAGTTGTCTCTAAGCCTACTCATCCTGCTATGGTCAGTTCAGTCTACTTC